CCAGCTCGGGACGCGGCCCCGGAAGGCCGCGGCAGCAGCCAGCCGTGTTTGCGGCTGCTCGGCTCTTCCAGCCCGGCCTCGCCAGCCCGGGGTCTCCAGGGCTCCCGAGGATCATAAAGACCTTGGGTGAAATTTCCCCCGGTGCAACGAAGTCCCTGAAAGCCGGGGGAATTCCCCATCCCCGCCGCGGGGAGCTTGGCCCCAGCCCTGCATTCATGCCCGTGCCGGGCCGAGCGCGAAGGGACCTCCCAGCAGGGCCCGGAGCAGGCCGGCAGGAGGCAGCTGCACCGCTTCTCGAGCCCCTGCTCTTCGTCTGCATGAAAACGTCCAAAACTGATCGCTGGCCCTGGCCCTGCCTGCCTGCTTCCTGCCCTTCCTTGCAGCGGTGGCCCTCAGGCTTGAGGATGATGGCTCCCCTGGGCGACATAAGGGGTTGTAGATGAGTCCCTCGATGGCTAAGAAGGCCGCTCCTAGAGCCACCGACACCACAGGTGATGGTTAAACGGAGGGTCAGGCCACAGATTTTTGGTCTCGTTTCTTTTACTTCCATTTTTCTGCCTGCAGGGCAACATGGTTTTCCTCGAAGTAAGATAGATGTACCTTCTCTCACAAGGTGTCTCCATGTACCCATGTCCTAGGTTCGCTTTTCCCAATTTGTGATGTTAGTGCCACATCTTAATGTTTGTCCTAAGGGCGTTTTTGAAGCATTTCCTCTAGCCCACGCGTGTCCTTTGTCCTTGGCTGAGTTGGGAGTATAGCAGTTCTTGTGGTAAACATGCATCAGGCATGCACGCGCAATGCCCTGCCCACCACTGCTGATGCTGAATAGTCAGCGCTTCCATGCCAGTAGTGTTGGCATCGGTAAGGACGCTGGCATTTGTGTGATAATCCTCCCACTTAATGCCAAGGATCTTTTGGAGGCAGTGCTGGTGAAGGCATTTCAGGCTCTTCAGGTGGTCCCTGTAGATCACCCAAGCCTCACAGCCATAGAGAAGAGTTGGGATTATCACAGCCTTATATAATAGGAGCTTTGTTTGAGGCCTGATGTTGTGATCATTGAACACACAGTGATACAATCTTCCAAAGGCAGAGCTGGCACATCGGATCCTATACTGGATCTCCTTGTTGATGCTGGCCTTTGAGAGATGGCTGCTGAGGTATGCAAAGTGTTCAACGTTCTCCAGCTCCTGTCCATCTATGAGGATCTTTAGGGAAGTTAACTGTCTTGGAGCAAGCTGTTGAAGCACCTTTGTTTTCCAGATGTTAAGGGTCAGTCCCAACCACTGCTATACTTGAGAGAAGCAGTTAAGGGCCGTTTGTAGGTCCTCCTCAGTATGTGCAACAACAGCACAATCATCAGCATACTGAAGTTCAAAAATTGAGGCTGATGCGGCTTGGGTTTTGGCATGGAGGCAGGAAAGATTGAAACGGTTCCCATCCATCCTGTACTCAGCACTAATGCCATGTGACAGGATCACGGATGAGCACCTTGATGACTGTAAGAAAGATGGAAGGCAGAATTGGTGCAGCCCTGCTCAACACCAGTTCGAATGGCAAAGGGCTCCATAGCAGAGCCACTGTAGAGGATAGAGGCAGTCATCTGGTCATACAAGAATCTTAGGATGGTGATAAATTTCCCTGGGCAACCAAGCTTCAACAAGATCCTCCATAGAACCTCACAGTTAACAGAGTCAAAGGCTTTGGTCAAATTATTAAAAGCCGTATACAGTTCCTGGTGGTGTCCTCAGCATTTTTCCTGGATCTGTCAGGAAAAATGTGGATCTGCCACAAAAAGTTATGTCATTTGTGCCTCTCAATGTTTCATAGTTTCTAGGACTGGAAGGGACCTGAGCAGATCATCTAGTCCGACCCCCTGCCGTGGCAGGAAAGAGCACTGGGGTCAAACGACCCCAGCAAGGTGTTCATCTAACCTCTTCTTAAAACCCCCCAGGGTAGGAGCCTGCACCACCTCCCTTGGAAGTTGGTTCCAGATCCTAGCCGCCCTGACTGTGAAGTAGCACCTCCTGATGTCTAACCTAAATCTACCCTCTGCCAGCTTGTGACCATTGTTCCTGGTCACTCCTGGCAGTGCTGGGGGGAACAGTGACTCCCCCAATGCCTGCTGATCCCCCCTGACTAGTTTATAACAGGCCACTAGATCCCCCCTCAGCCTTCTCTTGTGGAGGCTGAACAGGTTCAGGTCCTGTA